ATTTGAACAAAATCACCAGGCAATTTATCTGGCAACACAAAAAATCTAGAATAAAATGGAAGGTGCTCCAAGATAGAAAGGAAAAGGGAGTTATGAGTGTTCCCAACTGGTATATTTACTATCAAGCGCCCGCCCTAGTATGGATAAAAGAATGGATAACGTTGGAAAATACAAGACTTTTATCTTTAGAAGGTCATGACCTCTACATGGGGTGGCACGCTTACGTATGGTATGGGAAAGATAAGATACACTCTAACTTTGGCAGACACACACTAAGAGGATCCCTAAACAAAATATGGAGTAAAATAAAAGGATTTTGTTATAGGAAAACCCCAAGATGGGTTGCCCTGTTAGAGGCTTTTCTTAAGCCATCCGTGCTAATAATTAATTTGAAAGAAAGCTACCAAACGCTATTAAATAAAAATAATGAGTTAAAAACAGAAGAAAAATTACGACAGGAAAATAATTTGTCATGGTGGGCGCAGATAACATTATGAGACAGGTATAAGAAAGACATGTTAAGAGGCTTCGAGGATCAAAATAATGAATTTGATAAAATATGGCTGTCCTCAAATGACAAATTAGTCCAGAAGCTGTACATGTTCTTGTTAGATGATTATGAACAGGACGAAGAAATTAAATCTGCAATGATCGCATGGATGAAAGATATAGGGGAAATAGAAGAAGAGAAATGGATTAGGATGTGGAAAATGGTTAAATTTATGAGAGCGGTAGCATACAAAGAAAATGTATACAACATGTTTCACAAATGGCACTGGGCGCCTGATAAACTTGCTAAATGTTATAAGGGGTATTCCAATATATGTTGGAAATGTAAAGTGTGTAAGGGGACTTTCTATCATATGTGGTGGGAGTGTAATAAGATCCAAGGTTTCTGGAGAATGGTAAGGAAAGTAATTCAAGAAAGCCTGGGAAAAAAACGTAGCGCTAAAACCGGAAATTTACTTATTGAATATGATCCCTGAAGGATATAACAAACAAGATGCATATATAATAAGTTATGTGATAACAGCTGCCAGATTGCTAGTAGCCCGGAAGTGGAAAGCAGATATGATACCTACAAGGGAAGAATTGATAGATAAGATACTGGAACTAGCCAGAATGGATGACTTAAACTTAAGATTACTAAATAAGAACGAGAAGGTACATGGAAAGAGGTGGGGGAAAGTATATAAATGGATAGAAAAACAGGTAGAAAACTAACATCCCCAATTGTTAAATAATGTAAGAGGGAAAAGACTCTGATTTGTATGCAAACGAAACAGATGGAATGTACGTGTATATACTTGTAAATAAAATAAAAATTTTATATATAAAAAAAAGAATTCAGCAAAAAAGACTTTCAAGCAAGGAGAAGCGGGTGTACAATTCTAGAAACTCCCATAGGGGTTGATTGTGTAAAAAGGATGTAAACTGACTGGTAGCTATTAGATTAAACAAACTGATTATTATATTGTTGATATTGCATGTATAATGAATATACCTGTTTTAGAATATTATGAATAATACACAATGCACTTTATAAGATGGAACATATAGAACACTTTAACTTATAAATAAGGTTTTTGCAGTGAAAAAAAAATTGTTGTGCTGAATCCTCTTCCCAATTCTTTTGTGCTAATTGCTTATATAAAATAGATATTATCCCTTTACATTCAATTATACCTTTATCTATAAGAGTTTCAAGTGCTGTTAGGGGTCTATTTGTATTTTCAACCATATTGTTACTAGTCAGCATATTAAGTAATTGTTGATACTGAAAGCATTGAATGTGGATGTTATATTTCAATTCCAATTGTTGAATCGTCCAGGTCTGATTTTTATAACATAAATCCTTAATTCTAAATTTACCTGCCTCTCTCCAATTTTGGTATGCATTTATATGTTCACCCGGAGGAAACCATTTTTGTCCCAGAAAAACTGCCACTGGTGAGATTCCTGGGGCCACTCTATTTCTATTTCTATCCCAAATAGTCAATGAGTACATTCAAAAAAGGGTTATCCTTTACAGATTTAGGTCTATCTTTCATTTGTGCCCACATGACTTCATGAAGGTGTTTGGGCGTCACATAATATTTTTCTAATTGTACCCAATCCTTATTTGTTTTTGGAGACATATACTGCAATACATGTTTTAGTTGGGATGCTTCAAAATACCATTTTAAGTTGGGCAATCCAAGGCCTCCACTTTTCAGTGGTCTAGTTAATACTAAAAATTTTATTCGTCTTTTATTATTCCATAAAAATTTTGATATTTTCATTTGCCATAATTGTAAATCTTGATTTTTTACAATAATAGGAAGATTTTGAAATAAAAATAAAAATTTGGGAAAAATAATAAAGTTTTTATCAATTCAATCTTTTCTAAGAAGGAAAGGTTTACTTTTGACCAAGATTGTATCAAATTTTGCATTGAATTTACCACAGGTAAATAATTGCAATCAAATAACTTTTGTAGGTCTAAGGGTATTCCCAAATGTCTCCATGAACTTTCAACCCATTTAAAGGAAAAAAAGTTTGTAATTTCTTATTTTTCTACTTCTGTTAAAAGAATTGGGTACAACTCTGTTTTGGTATAATTTATTGTAAAACCAGACACTGCTGTAATTTTTTTAAATTCTTCTACTATCTGTGCCAATGAATTTATGGGATCACAAAAAGATAAAACTGTGTCCTCTGCAAATAAACTTATTTTATGTTCCACAGAATCCACTACAATCCCTTGTATTAAATTATTATTTCTTATGGCATGAGCTAGGGGTTCTAAAGAAAGAGCAAACAGAATGGGGGAAAGAGGGCAGCCCTGCCTTGTTCCTCTAGTTATTTTTATCTCTTCTGACCTATGGCCATTAATAGCCAGTTGCACTTTAGGAGCTTTATACAAAGTGTCTATTGAGCGTATAAAATTTGGACCAAAACCCATATGAATTAAAATTTCTTGTAAATATTTTATTTCCAATTTATCAAACGCTTTTTCAGCGTCAAGCACCAATATTGCGGCGTTAATCTTTTTAAATCTACAAAAATGAATTATATTTAGTGTTTTTCTAATATTATCTAGGCGGGAACGTCCTGGAATAAAACCTGCTTGATCTTTATTTATGTACTCAGGGAGTACTGCATTCAATCTTGAAGCTAATACCGTTGAAAAGATTTTAAAATCATGATTAAGAATTGAGATTGGATGGTATGATTCCGGTTTAGATTTACCTTCCCCTTCTTTAGGTAAAACTATTATTTTAGCTTCCCTCCAAGTGTTGGGCATATTTCCTGTTCCCATAATATTATTACAAGTATCAGTTAAATGAGATAAAATTTGTGACTTATATTTTTTATAGAATTCTATAGGGAATTTTGTTGGAAGAAGGTGATGTTGATGAACATATCAAAGAGGGATTTCTAGAGCTGTCTGACCAGGAAGAACACTGGATTATTGACAGATTGGAGAGCCTAAAGGGCAAGCTGGTTGATCTTAGAACGCCTGACAGCATTTTCAACTTCTGCCCCGATAAATGAGGAGATGGAAGTGAACTGTGACTCCTCTACCATAGCCCTCCCAATGCAGACCCCGATGGATCAAGACGTGGGGAAGCCAGAAGCACAACCTACTCTTTTATTTGATGAAAAGCCAGTGATAATAGAACCTGGGAGCCCTAACAAGGATCTAGAGGTTGCAGTTGAACCCTTGCCCAAGAAGACAAGGAATGGCAGTGTCTTTCTTGATAAGAAAAAAGCACTTGAATATATATCTGGTGTTCATAGGGAACAAGAAAGTAGGGAGCCTCCCTAAATCAAGCTGGCGTTCAGTGTCCAATATCCTTTGTTTTATAGCTCCTTTTGCCTGGTCAAGGCCCATGGTTAAAATCATGGAAGGTGACAAGCCTAGGCTCGCAAGTCTGCAAATGACTGTCTTAAGACATACAGATTGATGTTCATCCAAGAGGAGACCAGTGGGGTCAAACCTTGCTGAAAACTGCTAATCTTGAGCCAGTAATTTAGGGTAGCAAGGAACACTTTGATTTCCACTCTGACAGTGCCGGTCCCCAAATGTAGTAAAGCATTTGGTACGCAATGGGGGACTTGTAATGCTGCTCTTAGGAACTTTCACTGAACACACTCAAGATGGGCAAAAGAAGATGATATTGGCCCTATTGTAGTTCTGTGCAAAGATTGGGCCACGGTTTTGGCCTGGAAGAGTTTTAGGGCAGCAGGGATGCACTGGCCACCCTTAGTTTGAAGAAATCTAACTGTATATCTGCTGCGTGGGCTATATGTGCTTTTCTTGAGTCAGAAGCATGGAATACTGCACCAAGGTATTTAAAGGTCTGCTCCAGTTCAATCAAACGGCCATCAATGGTACACGTTCTAGACTTCTGTTTAAGAACATAAGAAAAGCCAATGTTGGATCAGGACAATGGCCCATCCAGTCCAACACCAGGTGCCATCAGGAGGTCCAGCAGTGGGGCCAGGACACTAGAAACCCTCCCACTCTGCCCCCGCCCGGCACCAAGAATATAGAGCATCACTTGCCGAATATAGAGCATCTTACCGAATGCCATTATTTTTGTTCTTTGATAGTTTATTGAAAGAAAAGTCTTCTTTGCAATGCTGTACTGGAGCATTTAGGGCTCTTCTTAGCCCAAATGGGGCCCTTAACAGAATATCTGCATCATCTGCCTTTAAGAAAAGATCTGACAATGCTGTAGTATAGGAGAAGGAAAGGCCTGGTCACTTATACAGACTCCAACCACCCCTAGGAAACAATTCTAATGGGCTTGGGGATCCCTGGAAGTAGCTTGGACCCCACAAATTTCCATACAGGTTCTAAGATGTTTTTGAAGAGTGCTATGGCGACTGAATCTCTTCCCACACTCAGAGCATTCAAAAGGCTTTTCCCCTGTATGGGCTCTCAGATGTCTTTGAAGAGTCGTACTGTCACTGAATCTCTTCCCACACTCTGAGCATTCAAAAGGCTTCTCCCCTGTGTGGGTTCTAAAATGATTTTGAAGGTGACCCCTTTGACTGAATCTCTTCCCACACTCTGAGCATTCAAAAGGCTTTTCCCCTGTGTGGGTTCTTAGATGATTTTGAAGACTGTTTCTGTGACTGAATCTCTTCCCACACTCAGAGCATTCAAAAGCCTTTCCCCCTGTGTGGGTTCTTAGATGTTCTAGGAGATAGCTACTGCGACTGAATCTCTTCCCACACTCTGAGCATTCAAAAGGCTGCTCCCCTGTGTGGGTTCTTAGATGAGTTTGAAGATTGCTGCTGTCACTGAATCTCTTCCCACATTCTGAGCATTCAAAAGGTTTCTCTCCTGTGTGGGTTCTTAGATGTTCTAGGAGATAGCTACTGCGACTGAATCTCTTCCCACACTCTGAGCATTCAAAAGGCTGCTCCCCTGTGTGGGTTCTTAGATGAGTTTGAAGATTGCTGCTGTCACTGAATCTCTTCCCACATTCTGAGCATTCAAAAGGTTTGTCCCCTGTGTGGGTTCTTTGATGCCGTCGAAGATGACTACTGCACCTGAATCCCTTCCCACATTCTGAGCATTCAAAAGGTTTCTCTCCTGTGTGGGTTTTTAGATGTTCTAGGAGATAGCTACTGCGACTGAATCTCAAAGGTTTCTCCCCTGTGTGGGTTCTTTGATGCCGTCGAAGATGACTACTGCACCTGAATCTCTTCCCACATTCTGAGCATTCAAAAAGCTTCTCCACTGTATGGGTTGTTAGATGAAATTGAAGAGTGCCACTGCAACTGAATCTCTTCCCACATTCTGAGCATTCATTGTGTCTGTGACTGAATCTCTTCCCACACTCAGAGCATTCAAAAGCCTTTTCCCCTGTGTGGGTTCTTATATGTTCTTGAAGAGAGCTACTCTCACTGAATCTCTTCCTACATTCTGAGCATTCAAACGTGTTCGCCCATGTGTGGGTTCTTAGATGAGTTTGAAGAGAGTCTCTGCGACTGAATCTCTTCCCACACTCTGAGCATTCAAAAGGCTTTTCCCCTGTGTGGGTTCTTAGATGATTTTGAAGACTGTTTCTGTGACTGAATCTCTTCCCACACTCAGAGCATTCAAAAGCCTTTCCCCCTGTGCCTTTCCACACTCTGAGCATTCAAATGGCTTCTCTCCTGTGTGGATTCTTAGATGGCTTTGAAGACTGCCACTTTCACTGAATCTCTTCCCACACTCTGAGCATTCAAAAGGCTTCTCTCCTGTGTGGATTCTTAGATGTCTTTGAAGACTGTTTCTGTGACTGAATCTCTTCCCACACTCTGAGCATTCAAAAGGCTTCTCCCCTGCGTGGGTTCTTAGATGTTTTTGAAGACTGTTTATGTGACTGAATCTCTTCCCACATTCTGAGCATACAAAAGGCTTCTCCCCTGTATGGGTTCTTAGATGAGTTTGAAGACTGTCTCTGTGTCTGAATCTCTTCCCACACTCTGAGCATTCAAAAGGCTTTTCCCCTGTGTGGGTTCTTAGATGAGTTTGAAGATTGCTGCTGTCATTGAATCTCTTCCCACATTCTGAGCATTTAAAAGGTTTCTCCCCTGTGTGGATTCTTTGATGCCGTCGAAGATTACTACTGCACCTAAATCTCTTCGCACATTCTGAGCATTCAAAAACCTTTTCCCCTGTGTGGGTTTTTAGATGTTCTTCAAGATAGCTTCTTTCACTGAATCTCTTCCTACATTCTGAGCATTCAAAAGTATTCTCCCCTGTGTGGGTTCTTAGATGTTTTTGAAGACTGTTTCTGTGACTGAATCTTTTCCCACACTCTGAGCATTCAAAAGGCTTCTCCCCTCTGTGGATTCGTTGGTGCACAAGGAGCTGTGATCTGTATTTGAAGTAGTTTCCACACCAAAAGCATTTACATGCATTCCATATACTGTGCTTTGGAAAACATATATTCCTTTTTATTCCCACAGAGAGCTTCATTCCACTCCCTGAACAAATAAATAGCTTCCCTCCTGTATGAATCTTTTGGTGTTGAACAAAGTCTGATTTCTCAGAGAATCTCTTGCCACAGTTTAAGCAGCTAAAAAGTTTCTCTCCTCGATGTGATCTTTGAAGTCTAAGGAGCTCTGCTCTGTGAATCATAGTCTTTCCACACTCCAGCCAGTCATGTGTCTTCTTTCCACTGAGCAATCGTAAATTGACATTATACTGGGATTGATCTGAGAAGTTCTTTCCACACGCCAAGCACTTGTATGTTTCCTTCATTGTGTGAATTACTTCTTGGAAATCCCCCCCTTGGCAAGGAATGGGTTTATCCCTCTTCTGGATGATGTGGCTTCTTTTCTGCCTCTTACGTCCAACTTGGTTTCTGAAGTTTCCTCTCAAGTCTTCATTCTTGCCTTCATCTGGCAATAGAGGATGCAGTTCCTCATCCTCCTCATTCCTCTGATCATCCCCTGCTGGAATAAAGAAAGATATCCTGTTAGAACCCACGCAAGGAGGTCTGATCTGCACCTGAAGTTCCATCCACAATCCAAATATTACAGTGGCTTCTTCCCACTATACGCTGAAGTCTACAATAACATGCACTTTAAAAATACATTAAGCCTCCTGCAGAAGACTTGTTTTAAACTCTAACCATTTATATGGTTTCCCAGCCTTGTTACTTTTTTGATGTGAAGGAAGGGCTCTTTTTGGACTGAAGCTCTTTCCACACTGCAAGCAATTACACGGTTTCCCTCCTACGGGAATCTGTGTCTGTAAAATGATGGTCATTCTGTAACTGAAGGTCTTTGCCAAGGCTACACTTTCAGTTGCCCTGGAGTGGATTCTCTGGTTAGGATGGAGGCCTTTGTCCCTTCTCTTTTTGACTGACTCTTCTTCTTGGACTGGGATTTCACAGAAACCCCCTCCTTCGCAAGGAATGGGCTAATCCCTCCTCTTACCTGCTTGGCTTCCCTCCTGCCTCTGGGGTCCATCTCCATCTTCGAAGTGTCCTTCGGTGTCTTCATTCTTGACTTTTCCAAAAAAGAACCCCTGGAATTCCCCAGCTGTCTCCTCTACATCTGCTCCTGGAATTAAGAAAGAGTTTCAATCATCACCCAGGCAAGAAGCCAAGGCACCAGCCAGGCACTGCTCAGGAATGGGTGGGCATTTCTGTTGTCCAATCATCTTTCCTCCCAAACTGAGATGCTGATCCCACCTTATCCCTGCCAGGCTCTCCTGTAGAGCTGTTTTTTATATTCCATCTGTCCCTTCACTCCCCAAACTCCCCATATGTATTTTAAGGAGAAAAGTGGCAAAATATTGTTCCTCCCCATTCGCATTTGACTTACCATGGCTTTTGACTTTTGATTCTCCGAACTTGGCAATTAAATACAAGAGGTAATCAAGATATCCAGTCCTACAACTGTACTGAGAGTTTCCTTCCAGTTGTCAACAGGGCCAGGAGGAGCTGTTTTTCACCCTCCCCCAAATACGTGTTTTCCAGGTGGGAGGAGGGAAGCTAGGAGCTCCCCAAGTGAACCCCACAGTTCATATGGGGCCCCCATGGTTTTTGGAAAAGGTGTCGTTTGTTGGGGGGGCAGGTAATGAAAAATGAGAAAACCAGCATTGCAGTGTAGGGGCACCTTTCTCAAGGTCAGAGCCATTTTTCTGCTATTTCTGAGCCGTTGTCTGCACCTGGGTCTCTCTGTTGTTTAAAGCACAGCCACGTCTAAATCATCCAGGCAGTTCTGCCTTTCCTAGACGCACAGAGTCAGCGAGTCTCTCCAGAAAGAAGTATATCTTATTGTCAGCAAGAGAGAGCCAGAAGACTGATTAGCAGGTGTCAACGTCATCAACTCCTAACGGTAGACTAAGGCCCTCTGGAAGCCCATCCCAGAGGAAAACGCAGTGCCAAAAAGTCCAGATAAGACCCCAGAAGAGTCTGTCCTGTTCCATCCTCCCAAAATACCTGAAAGGTGCAGTGACCACACAGCAAGCATGCAGTTATCCAGGTGTTCAGCATGACCAGGGTGATGGAATCTAAATGTGGAGAAGTGAATCTGGAAGACCCTTAGAGCAGCAGAGGGTTCTCATTGTTGCCAACGTTCTTCTATGGGGACAGGGGGAGATGGTGCTGGCCGGCCTCGGAAGAACTCGGGCATCGGGGCATGCTGAGTGGACAGGTGTTCCTGGCTTTTCTTTGTGTTTGTGCTTTTCTTTGGCAGATGGTTTCCTGCCTCAAGGGGCTGGGATTTAGCCTTTGGGAAGGAGTTGGTTGCCTGCCTCTTGGGGAGACGGACGGTGGCTACAGTGCTTTCTCTATCCTATTGTGGCTCAAACAAACTGTGCTTCAACTGAGTACCTGACTCTGTCTTTACTGGGCTGACAATATCAGTGGGAAACTCTTCAATAGCACACGATCCCGTTCACTTGGGGTGAGGACTGATTCCTGTCACCACAACAGAAAGTGCTGTGTGATTTGGCGTAAGCCAGTTGCCCTTGGGTGGTAGTGTTAACTGGTGGGATTACCCACTGCAGTTCACCTCTGCAAGGTAGAACAGCTCCAAACCCATCTCCACCTAATCGTAAGGCCTGAAGACATCCAGGGGACCGCTGTAGGAATGGCTTGAGTGAGGGCCACAACACTGGCCATGCTGAACCATCCTTTTCACTGCCACCCCAACTCCTTGAGGCTCCCCGCAGGGGGGTGGGGGGAAGGTAGCCAGACAGTATTCCTAACCACATATAGCTTTTCACTATTTTGATTCATGCATCGACCCAATGGCAGCAATTTTCCCCTTTGGCACCCATGAAAGGTCCTTACCTAGAGAAGCCACACTCCCGTAGTTCTCCAGCATGACGTCTCTGTAGAGGGCTCTTTGGCCAGGATCCAGCAAGGCCCACTCGGCCTCGGTGAAATACACGGCCACCTCCTCAAAGGAAAAGGGAGGCTGAAAGGAAAAGCAGATTCCCTCGTCAGAGATCAGTCCAGGCAGAGACTACAGTCTTGACAGGGGCATTCTGGGAGGGTGAGGGATGTAGAGTTTGGCATGCATAAAGAGAGTGGGGTTCAGAGCTTGTCTCTCCTTGGTCAGAAGGATCAAAGGCCTCCCTGAGAAAGGAGGGGGGACCTGACTATCCCCCCGTCTTCCCCCCCTACCTGGACCAGAGGAGGAGCAGCCAGTTCCAGTCCTCTGAAAAGATGACAGGTTGACAGCCTCTCTTCACTGCCTGCAAGGGAAACAAAATTGGAAGGATTAAAGTTAACCTCAAGTTCCTCTTGTGTTTGCTTCTTTCAATTGTTCTTCACCCATCCCTGTTCCCAGGGTTGTGACATCATCTCTTTTTTTCTTTTCTTTTTTAAGATCAAAGCTTATTATTTTTTCTACCAGCATACAAAAACATATTGCACATCAAACAACCAAAACAAAAATAAAAATATTCTAAGGACTAACATATGCAGTTTATACAGAATAAAACAGACCTCCCAGTAATCACACAACAAAGAAAGCAAAACTGGGGCCAATATAGAACCAATGATACACTCTAAAACATAAGTAGTATGCTGAACTAAAACATAAGTAGTATGCTTGATAGACTAAGCTGGAGTATGCTAACTCCAGCTTAGTCTATCAAGGACAGGTCCCATATGAGATATGGTCCAAGGAAATAAGGGCTAGTCCCTATATTAAAGGTAGCAACTCTAGAGAAGTATCTTAAAAACCAGGAAATTACACATATTAAGAAAACTTGTATACAACTTCAGTTAAGCTGCTTATGAGGAAGTCATTAGATTGCAGTTTTAAAAGTTGCCTTGAAGGTCGGGACAAATCAGCCTCCGCCAAAATTTAAGCAGTCCCTCTGAAGATGCTGGGAGTTGCAGGAAGACAGGTAGATGTCCCTTGTAAAAATGGCAGCTCTCTCCAAATCTGACAGGTTACAATAATCCATATTTCATGAGCGTAGAATGTAGTTAAGGATCAACCAGTGGAAGATCAAAGTTTATTTATTTTTTTTCTACCAGCATACAAAAACATATTGCACATCAAACAACCAAAACAAAAATAAAAATACTCTAAGGACTAACATATGTAGTTTATACAGAATAAACTTTCTGGAAATTGATCTTTTTCAGTAGTTCTGGTTATGTCTTAATGGACATGACTAATTCAGCTTAAGTGTTTTAACTAAAGCTATGTTTGATTTTAAATACTGTACAGTTTAATTAATAAATCAAGCAAAGCCTCAGTGTAGAACAGTCACTGCCAATGTCGCCCA